CTGTGGCAGAAAACCTGAGTTGGGTTCCCAGCACCCACGCATGCCATGCCGCTCACAACCACCTGTAGCTCCAGCTCCAGGGGATCCGATGCTGTCTTCCGGCCTCCATAGGCACTGCACTCATGTGCAAAAACCCGTACCCATACACACATGCATACACATTAATAATAATAATCCTTTAAAATCCCCGCAGAGGCAGGTGGATCTCCAAAAGTCTGATGCCAGCCTGATCTACATATGGAATATGGCAAGCTAGAGCTACATAGTGAGACTTTGTCTCAAAACTAACTAACTAACTAACTAAATAAATAAATAAATAAAATAAAATAAAAAAACTCATAAATGGCTGGGTGTAGAAATGCACTCTAATCCCAACACTCAAGAGGCAGAGGCAGGTGAATACAGTGAGTTCAAGGCCTGCTCTATACCTGCACCCACCTTGCTGAGGCAGACCAGAGAAAAACCAAAGAACACAGCCAACAGACTTAGTGAGTGGTCCCTTCTTGTTGCTTGGCAGATACAGCCAGTCTCCCCTACCCGGGAGGAGTGTTCTAATACCACCTTCCGGTCCCCTCATTTGTGGTGGCCTAGATGTGTTCCTCTCCTAGGCCGACCCCTTGACAAAGTGTGATATTCTGCCCCTTTACAAAGGCAAGGACCTGGCTGTAGTGAGTTTCCCCAACATCTCTGTACATCATCCCCATTTACTGGGTTGTTCCCACAAGCATACAAGGCCATGGGAGTAACTTACCAACTCAAAGAAAGAAAGAATGAAGAGACGATCCGTGGTGAACAGCATGGAGATCTTTTATTGTACCCTTATGGACACACTGTCTGGGTTCACTTTCTCGTTCAGTCCTTGCATTCACATAGTAATTATTGATGCCACCATTTTACAAATGAAATAGTAGATTCAGAAGGATTCAGTGACCACCAAGGTCACGGAACCATATGTGACTCCAGCAGGTTTCACAGTCTCTTGGCCCCAAAGCCAGATGATCTCAAGTTCATATATTCCACGCCATCCTAGCTTTGCCCTCCATCCACACCACCGGTGGATGTGAAGTCAGCAAATCACTGTGAGTGTATGTTTCAGGGCTCCACACGGAAGAACACAGGCCCTAGACCAACGAGAGTCTCTGGACTGGGTTTCCACAGGATAGCTGCTTCTGCCTCTTGCTCCAGGCTCTCACTTGTCTGAATGGCTCTACCACTGAACAATATCGTCAGCCCAGTAATAGGTTGGGTTTTTTGTGTGTGTTTGGTTATTTGGTTTTTTTTCAGTAGCATTTCAATTATTCGAACATTTGGAACAATCTGAATGATTGGTTTTACCAAAGGAATTTTGCAGTTTAGCATCTGTTCAGTTTGGCCCTCATCTATCAGGGAGAGGGGTCAGTGGAACCAGGACAGTCATGTGCTATACCCTGAAGAGTTCCTTTGACCCTTAGGGACCTACACTTAGGCAAACCCAGGATTTTTTCACTTTGCCACAGAAAAGAATTTCAAGACAAGATGGCCTGAAATAGAGTTGAAATTTATTAAAAGACTTTTTGTTTGTTTTCTTCGAGACAGGGTTTCTCTATGGAGCCCTGACTGCCCTGGAACTCACTCTGTAGACCAGGCTAGCCTTGAACTCACAGAGATTCGCCTGCCTCTGCCTCCTGAGTGCTGAGATTAAGGTCGTGTACCACCACTGCCTGGCAAAAGACGTTTTTAAATGTGGATCTTTAGCATGGGATTAATGCAAGAGATCTTAAGGGAAGAATAAGATATACCCAAGTGTGGGTATAGACTTCTCAAGGGAATCACTCTCGATGGTTTTGCTAGTTTTATTTTACTGTTTTATGTATATAAGTGGTTTTGCTTGCATATATGTATATGTACCATGTGCATGCCTGGTGCCCTTGAAGGTCAGAAGAATGTGTCAGATCCTCTGGAACTGGAGTTACAGATGGTTGTGAGCCAGCATGTGGGTGCTGAGAATCAAACCCAGTTCTCTGCAACAGCAACAAGTGCCCTCAACCGCTGAGCCACCTCTAAGCCCACCCGATTGTTTGACTGTATTCATCTCTATGTGTTCATGTGGGTTGTGTGTGTGTGTGTGTGTGTGTGTGTGTGTAGTGTGGAATCTGAGGGTCAGCATTGAGTATTTTCTTTTCCTCAGTCTCTGCCCATCTAGATAGATCTTCTTTCACTGACCCTGAGCTGACTGTTCGGCTGGCTGACCAGAGATCCCCACATCACCCCCATCTCTGCCTCCTGGCCCCGCCAGGCCCGGTGCTGAGAGCTGAACTCGGGTCCTCATATCTGTACAGCAGGCACTTTACCAACCCAGCCACATGCCCAGCACCTTCACTGTCTTTAAGTGACTGTGTTTATGGTCCGTGGTTTTCTATGTCGCATTGCTCGGCTTCAAGGTAGAGAATTTCCTTTTGTAAACAGAATCGTAAGGTATATGATATTGTTCAGATTTAGGAATGAGAGTGAGGTTTTACATACATTAACTCCAGGTCATAGATCCTTTTAACTGTATATAACAACGTTTGTTTATCGTCTTCAACATACCTGTCTGTGATGCCTCAGGAAAACACATATTGTCTCTGCACACAACTTTGCCTTTATTGGTGGCCCCAAGTTTCCTGACTGTCAGCAGGATAACTGTTGCTATACGGAATCCCTTCAGCTATGGAATATCTGTATAGAATGTTTCCTATAGAATAAGTAGTCGTGGGATTTGGGAACACTGAGACTCACTGCAGAGTCTTATGCAGCTCGCGCTCACTTCAGACTCCTTAGGGAGTCAAGAATGACCCTGGATTTCCGATCCTCTTACCTGCAGCTCCCTATTGCTGGGATTCCACGCAGTTTATTGGGGGGAAACAGAAGCTAGGGCTTCATGCACAGTAGGCAAGCGCTCTACCAAGTGAGCCACACCCCAGCCCTCCTGTCCCCTTTGGAGAACTAAACAACGTCATTGAAATACGGTTAACACGGGCAGTGCGCCCCGCCTGGCAACAAGGACGACCAGTGTGCAGTTGGAAGGGCTCCATCAGGTGACAAGGCATTGAAGGTCTGCAGAGTTTCAGTTTCACCATCTGCCAAGTGCGGATGACAGAGCCGCTTTAGCCAGGAAAGGAGAGGCGTGGGAGGAAGTGCGTTTCAGGTTGACTAGGCTCTGGAGCGCTCCAATAGGGCCAGAGCAGCTGTTGACATGGGTTGACATGGTTGACATGGAGGCTGAAAGCAAGAAAATCAGTCGCTCTCAGGCACCCGCCTTTGAAATAGGAAGCGTGTAAACATGATGACCATTTGCATCTCCTCCTCCTCCTCCTGTTCTCTGGGCTCCTGATTACAGAAAACCTGGAACCCTCCCCAGTTCCTCCTCACAGTGCACAGATGTGCTGACACTCAGGTCTTGGAAACATTTGAAACTCGTGTACGGAACCCAGGTCAGGGCAGAGAGGCCTTCTGGTTACATAATACACTGTTCTGAATCTTAGAACACTCAGGTTATGAGTTGGGTTCCAGACCGAAGTCCTGTCTGGAGACACGGTAATGATTACATTACGGTTCATTAAAACCTAGAAGACAATTTGGCCAAGATGAAAAAATAATAATAATAATTTAGGCATGATGAGAACAATGCAGAATGTGTGTAATTAAATTTCAAGGTACACGTGGGGCAGTTGACATAAAATATTTTCCAGAAAACAACAAAGAAGTCACTTTGTAGAGCAACTTACCTATTACGTAGTAGTGAGAAATAAAACTCGAAGCAAAGCATAGAGGGTGTGGGCGGAGGGACTGTCCTGGAATCTTTGGTTGTTTGGGCTTGAGACAGGTTCTCTCCCTCTATAGCCCAAGCTGGCCTGGGCTTTTGGAACAATCCTCCTGCCTCTGCCCTCCTGAGTGCTGGGACTGTAAGCATGTGCCACCACCTTGGCGGAATTCATGGCGGAATCTGCTTTGTTCCTTACTTTATACTGTTTATGGTAACAGACGCTGGAAACTGGGGCCTTAGCTCAGAGGTAGAGGGCGGAGCCTGAGTTACACACACACACACACACACACACACACACACACACACACACTCTCTCTCTCTCTCTCTCTCTCTCTCTCTCTCTCTCTCTCTCTCTCTCTAATGCACTACTCTGAAGTGTTTAAAGCGCCTACTAAAAGTTCACTATTTTCAGAAAAAAAAAAGCTTTTTTTTTTAAAGAGTTTCTCCTCCCAGTCTTTTCTGATTCATTTCCTCCTTCTTTCAACTCGGTATTTGGTAGGGGAGGTGAGAGCCCCTCCCCCAAATGAGATCACTCCAGCCAGGACCCAAGGCCAGCCAGCGGCTTATCAGTTGAATCAGGGCCCTTGTCTTTCTAACCAGTTGACAGTTTCCAGTGGGAGTCTGGGAGAGGAGGTAGCAGGGCCTCGTGCTGGCTCCGACCTTTACCTCATTTACCTGGAGCTGCCGTCCCAGGGTCCCAGGGCTGGCTTCTTCCGGGCAGCCTCGGGCCCATATTCCTACTCCTAACCGTGGAGGCCCCCCCCCACAGGGCTGTACGCAGATCAGGACGGAAGCTGGGAGGCTGGGTTGTAAACAGAGCCCCCCCTATTCACACACACACACACACACACACACACACACACACACACACACACACACACACACACACGAGATCCTTGGCTACTAAACAAGAGAAAGGAAAGGGAGAAATCTCTCTTACCGCCGCCCCCCCCCATCTCTTTCTTCAATCCCTCCCCCCTACTTCTAATACTTTCCACCACACCTGAATAATAAAAGCCGAGGAACTGAACCGTTAAAAAACAGGAAGGGTCAAGATATAGTTACATTCAAATTACTGAGAAAGGCAAAATGCAAACAAATTCAGAGCCAGATTTCCACTTCATGTTTCATCTACATTGATGGTACAGTCTTAAACCACGGCCATTCCCCCTCCTAAAGCAAGAAAGCAAATGCTGTATCCTGTCATTTGCCCCAGAGGCCACCGGAAATGGCATCACCTCCCCAGACACGGGCTTGTGAAAGTTCCAGCACCCAGCGTTGAACTTCTTTCCCTGGAAGACAGAGTCTGGGCCATTCTGATCTTCAGCCAGGAAAGGACTCTATCTAGGGAAGAGATCTGGAGTCCACAGAGAGACGTAGACAGAAAGTCACCAGGGGTTTCAATGAGTAAGTACCTCCCAGCTCTCTTGCTTTCTTTTGCTAATGGGTCTCTTGTAGCCCAGGATGTCTTCCAACTCCCTATGTAGCTGAGAAAGACCCTGAGAGATGACAGGGCTCTGCTTCCCATTTTCTTTTAAATATAGATTTAAATTTTCTGACTGTCTTTTCTCAGATCCCTACTGTTACAAGTCACTGGGCAGATGGGGGATGGGACTCCAGCCACCGGACTTGGTGGCACCAAAGGACGAGCTGCTAGTGGTCTAGACTGGTAAACAATTAAATTTCTTTCTTTCTTTCTTTTTTAAAAAAAGGTGCAAGGAAACAGCCAATTCAGTGTTGAAGGAAAGAGGATGTACAGAGTCTATTTATTGTCTGTGCAATCTTGTCTGTGGTGGTTGACCACAAAGGCCTGGCATTCCAGCCCTGCTTTTCATAAGCCTGTGACGGCAGGAGACTCAGTCCATCTTTCCACCTTGATTTTTGAATAATGTGTAAATGAATAAAATGAAGAATACCTATTCCGTAAGTTTCTTAAGAGGAGCACATGGATGAGCAAGTAAAACACTTAAATAGCACCCCGAGAGTTTAAGTAAGGTTACCCAGTTGGTGTTGTGAAACAGTTGGTTAAGTACTTCACTGCAAATAATAATAGTTATGATAAAGCTAGCTAACATCCTGAGTGGTGGAAATGGAACCAGATAAACTCCAACCCTGTTTTGCTTCCTCGTGGAAAATGTCAAGTTGTGTACAAAATAGTTTTTCCAGCGGAGAATAACAAGGAGGAAATGGCATGCAAATTTTTCTTTCTAGATAATTTTACTTCCTTCTTTTCATTTCAGCCAATATGTATAGCTGGAGTTAAAAGCTTTGGGTTCTGAAACCCTGTTTCTATCCCCCAAGAAAGAAAACCTACCTATGCCCCAAGTTTATCTAATCCCTCAGAAGTTGCCCTCAATGCCAGGCCGGTTCTGGCTTTTGCTAGCTGAGCAACCTTGGGCGATTTTGCGTAACCTCTTCAGGCCTCTGTTGATTTCTGTCAGCAGAGGTAACTAAAGACTGGGCTGTGAGAATCCAACAGGCCAGCCAGCAGGGTGAGTGCCCCTCGAATGTCCCCTGGAAAGAGGCAAAAGTGAGGGTGCACCTTGGAAGACACTGAGACCCGAGGACGAGGACTCCAGGAACGGTTGGGCCCTGGAGGCAGGAGGCGCTTGTGTCTGAGGGGAGCCTGGGTGACAGGGCCTGTTACCTCCCATAGCAGACCAAGCGGTAAGGAGCGGGGCCCTTGGAGGAAGGCGAGGCCTGTCTGAAGGCCAAGCAGGAATTTCTGACAAAATTGACTTCCAGTCAATGAGTAGATCTTAAGAAACAGATCCCAGCAGGGGGCGGGGCGCACGCCTTTCGTCCCAGTACTCGAGAGGCAGAGGCAGGCAGATCTCGGTGACTTTGAGGCTACAAAGCGAGTTCCAGGACAGGCAAGGCTACCCAGAGAAACCCTGTCTCGAAAAAGAAAAAGAAAAAAAAAACAGATTCCGTGATCTCACACCCACACCCACAAATGGGGAGGGGGGTTTGTGGAAAATGAAAAAAAAAATTAGCCATGCAAACTAAACTAAAACAGAAGTAAAAGTGGACAGTGCTCGACTTCGGAAAACGTTGCTGAATCCTAAAGTATATTTTCAATATACATGTGTATCTACCTTACATATATAACAATGGAATGTATAACTAATCTGCTATATTCTATATGATATATGATTAACATTAAAATACAATTAGCTTGCCTCTGCCTCCCAAGTGCTGGGATTAAAGGTGTGCGCCACCCCTGCCCACCTGGTCTACAGAGTGAGTTCCAGGAAGGGCGCAACGCTACACAGAGAAACCCTGTCTCGAAAAACAAAAACAAAATTCAATTTGCTACATAAATGTAAGGTAGATACACACATTTGCCTAACATGCACCAGACCCTGGCTTGGATCCACCACGACCCCCCCCCCCCCCCCCCAAATCCCGCCCCCCCCCCCAAAAAAAAAGTAGGAATAAATAGTAATAGTTGAGCTGAGCTCCATTCAGGCTATCATTTTAAGGATTTTTCATGTTTCAAGAATGGTGACAACAGCCATTTATGAAAACTAAAAACAAAGACGAAGCTTTTTGGATGGGATGTATTTCCAGTCATATGTCCAACCCAGTTTTCGTCCAGAACTGAAGCTCTGGACACACGTTAGAGCGGGTTGCCTTCGTCCCAGGCCACACCAATATTTACCTTGAGGAAGACTGTCCAAAGGTCGGGAGGGAGGGAATGGTCTTAGGAATTGTCACAATTTGGTGTGAGGAGAAAGAACCCTGGAGAAGTTGGAGGGCTATTGTTATTCCTCCCTTCCCCCACTGAAGAACTTTACCCACCTGAATGCCTGGAGCTGAGGAGCCACCGGGGGTGGGGTGGGGTGGAGAAGGGGTTATTTATAAAGTGGCAGCATCTTGCTAGCCATCAACTATTTACGAAATCACTAGTCACTCACTAGGCTTCCCGCCCCTCCAGGCCACAATGCCCGAGGCTGGGAGAGTGCAGATCTGGCCGGGATCTCCAGCTGATCTTACCCTAGGGCCGAATCCCGGGCCCTCCCACTCGGCCTGGTGGCTTTATTGCCTCAATTCTGAGTCATCTGCATACAAATAGTATTGATAAGGTGATGGGTGGTCCTTTGTCTTCCTCCTCCTCCTCCTCCTCCTCCTCCTGGGTCTAGGGAAGAGAAGCCATTTACAATCTGGCTCGGACCACGGGCAAAAGCCAGAACCAGGTTCTCTAGAGCAGAATAGGGACTCGCTCCAAGGCTTGGGGGTGACTGGAGCCCAGGTGGAAGGGAGGCTGGAGAACTGCAGAGGGGGGCCTTGAGAAAGACGGCCTTTGGAGGGAACCCCTGGGAGAGGACAGGACCCAGCAGGGCCGGGGCTCCGGTGGGCGCCGCAGAAGTGCGGCCAGCGGCCGCTGCGAAGGTCAAGAGTCGGCCTTTGAAAGGAAGCCAAGAAGCCAGTGGTGACTTACTGACAAATGTCTTCGGGTTTGATGCGACTGGAAGCCAAGTTAAAGCCCGAGGAGGAGTGAGTGGGAGGAGAGGACCGGACACAGGCTGTGCAAAGAGCGCTTTAAAAAAATGTGGCCTTGAAGGCCGGGCAGTAGGACAGACAGGCCGGGAGGTGGAGCCAACGAAGTTACCCCCTTTTTTTTTTTTTTTTTTTTTTTGAAGCAGGGAGAAATTAGGAGGGTGGGAGCTAACCTTAGGACTAGTGACTGGAAGGCAGAAGGCAGGGTTAGTCCACTCAGGGGAGATAGCTTGAGGATGTAGAAAGCTCCCGGCGCGACTTGGCTGTTGGCCTTCTTCCCCAGAAGGAGGTAGGTGTGGTGTCTGCCTTTGCACTCGGTGGGAAGGGGGACCTCGGGGTCGCGGGATCGGGGGCTTCGGGTCCTAGGGCCGTTTGCTCTGGAGTGGGGCCAGTTTGCCCTGTGGGAGCTTAAAGGGGGCCCGGTGTCCTGCAGGCGTGACTAGGCCTTTGAGACGCCGGGTCTCCTCTTATCCTCGCAGTGGGGAAACCGAGGCTCGGAGAGATGGGCCTCCAGCCTGAGACCACTATGGCACTGTTTCTTTGAGGTGGAAGCCAGGTTGCCGGCTCAGGACATTTTTCCTAACCCTGTTAGACAGATCATAGGTGCGGTTGAAATAACGACTCGAGGTGGTAATGCTAGAAATGTGCAAAGCTGTATGCGATTGAAATCAAACTTTTATGAACTGTTTAAAAAGATCCAAATGGGAACCTGGTGGTGGTGATGGCGGTGGTGGCGCACGCCTTTAATCCCAGCGCTTGGGAGACAGAGGCAGGCGGATCTCTGTGAGTTCGAGGCCAGCCTGGTCTACAAAGTGAGTTCCAGGACAGCCAATGGCCCAAAGGTTATCTTTTCACTTTAAAAAGTGTCTGCATTGCTAGTATTAAGGACCTCCACTTCGTTCTTACATTCACGCCTTGCGTTTCTTTCTATAGCCCATCAGATTTAGATTAGACTGTTCATGTGGGGAAACATGATGCTTTAAGAGTTTTTTAAGCCTGTAACTTTTCAGACTCACGGTCTTTGGAATTCTTTCCATTGATGTTTGCGGTTGAATGTTGGTGGGGAGGGACGATACAGACCCGCCCCCAGTGTGTCCACCTCAACTCATGCTTAAGCCGGGCTGGTCGTCACCGACACCGGGAACCCCCGTAGAAGGCTGGCCAGGCATCACTGCGCATGTCACAGGTGTCAGCCAAGTTAACTATGCTGAGTGACAGCTGTCAAGGCCCCGACACACCCTGGAAACGACATTTTTCCTCGTTAGGCTGCAGGGCTGAGACCTATGGAGCCAGGTGATACCACCTGGCCCGGGAGGCTGAGATGGGTTTCCCTGTGGCTACCGGGCCGCGGTGTCTTTGCGTTGCTACTTACCACAGTATTTCACAATAATTATATCTATCTGGTGTGGCCCTAGAGCCTTCTTAAACATATTGCTCCTCCCACTTTTGGTGTTGTGGAGAGCAGATACTAGCTTACTTAACCCAAATCAAGAGTCCGTGGCGAGTCCTCAGTGCCGAGTTCAGAATCCAGTGGCAGGCCCTCCTTCAGAGCCGGTGGTTGGTAGGCCCCGTCCAGTCTAGTGTGGGCCCATTGCAGGCCATATAATTTTTGACAGATTTAGTTCAACTCAGAAAACTAAACAGTTACCAAAAACATAAAGTCAAAAGGTGAGCTCATGAGAAATAATTTTCTTGTCTGTACACGCAATGCCTTAAAATTGAAGGAGAGCTTGGAAAAGTAAAAAAATAATGGTTTGCTCTGGGCATGTTTATGTTTAATCTCAGTGCTCGGGATGCAGAGGCAGGCAGGTCTTCATGTTCAAGGCCAGCACGGTCTGTATATCAAGTTCCAAATCAACCAGGCTATGTAGTTTGACTCTGTCTCAAAACAAAATAGAGCTGGGTGGTGGTGGCCCACGCCTTTGATCCCAGCTTTGATTTGGGAGGCAGAGGCTGGTGATCTCTGTGAGTTCGAGGCCAGCCTGGTCTACAGAGTGAGTTCCAGGACAGACTCCAAAGCCACACAGAGAAACCCTGTCTTGAAAAAAGCCAAAAAAAAAAAAAAAAAAAAAAAAAGATAGATAGAATCCCTCACTGCCTTTAAAGGGAAAGGAGCTGTTTATAGTCCTCATGCAATGGTCCAGTGGGTATGTAGTCAGATGCATGAAACTATTAAACTAGTTACAAGTTTTACCTGCTGGAAATCGAAGCAGCATCCTAATTGTCAGGCCTGTCTTTATGTTCTAAGGCATCTCTGTCGCACCTCCAGAGCCACTGGCCTAGTCCCTTGTCATTCGTCCAAAAACTGACCTAATTACTACACAACATTGATTAATGAAAAAGAAATGATCTGGGTTTGTTTGGGGATGGCTATAAAGTAACAGTCAAAGATTTATAATTCATGCCTCGTGAAGCTACTGAAAAATTAATTGTCCCCAAATGGGGAAAAACACAAGCAGATTGCTTGAAAGTCATTTTTTAAAAATAGCGGTCGCCATTATTAATGCATATTTCTCCCACCACTTCAGAGGCCCAGATCTTGCAGCTGAACAGATTTGGGGAATCTCGGAACTTTTTTAAGCGTGGCATTGTAGGCCTTGTGCTCCTCTGCCTCCACCCTGGCTCCTCATACAGCCTTGGGCACTTCTGCGCACATCCCCTTGCGGGGCCAGCCCCCTCTTATCTGTCCTTGGCAGCCTCTGCTTATCTCTCCCCTGGAGGGAAGAGACCAACTCAACTCATTTTGAGTTTTCTTTTTGAGCAATCCGGCATTGGCGCCTTGTGCGGGGATTACAGGTGTTTGCCGCCGCCATGCCAGCTTAGACTGCTCTTTTTTTTGTACCAGGTTTTGGAGCACAACAGTTGACCCACTCTGTTCCCTCCTGATGAAATGAGTCCATCAGATAGCTTCCAAAACTAATAAGGGAGCTTATTGCTCTCGCCTGGCTACATTCCAGTCCCTTTTTTTTGTTTCAGTTTTATAAATAAAAACCCGGAACTGGAAGTTGCTGGCCTTTAGTTGTCTGAGAAGATTCAGTCTTTCTACCTTGTTCTCTCAGTCCCCTAAAAATGTCACTTAGGTTTGGGCATGTCTTGGGTGACCTCCTAGCACAGTCAACCCTTTCCCATGGGGACCAGGCAGAGGGTGTCTGACTTTGTCCATCTGGTTGTTGAGCGCCCCCCCACCCCACCCCCTTGTTTTGGCTTCAGCTACCTACTGGAATGCTCTTCCCCTCCCTTTCTCCTCGATGCTATCAGTACCTTCCCCCTGGAGGACAATGGCGAATTCTTGCAGGCAGTTTTGCTTGACTTAGAGCCAGGTGGTGGGTGCGTGGGGGGCAGCATGTGGTCCAAGGTTCCCTGGTTGAAATACTGGGAACCACACCTTCCCACGGGGAAGTCACAGTCTGTAGCATTTTGTTTTTTGTTTTTTACTGGGTTATGCTAATACCTGGTTTAACATTTGTGTCTTTTGGCTTGAGATTGAGCGATGAGATGTGGTACATTCATTCCCTCCACCCCTACCCCCAAGAACTCACAACCCCGGTTGCAGAGTAGATAGTTGCCTATGAATAAAGCGAGTAAACCTTAGCTCCATTGTTTCTGTAACCTTTTCTATAAGTTAGGAATGGGGAGAACTCTTAAGTAGGCCACCTTAAAGTGGCATCCGAGAGCTGATCCATAAACAGCATTATATTGAAAACCCTCCCCTTTCATCTCCTTTGGTTTTTGTGGAACCCCCATGACAGATGAACAGTTTTCTCCCCCTTTTCGGATGGCTAAACTGGTGTTCTGTAGCTTGCTCACTGAGAATCACTAACCCATACTAGTACTTAAGAGCTCGGCAGGCATTGTTCTAAGTTCTTTACATTTGGGCTGGAGAGTTGGCCCGGGTGGAGAGCACTGTTGCTCAGACCCCAGCAGCAGCCACATCTGGCTGCTCACAAACTGCCCTGATCTCCAGCTGCAGGGACTCTTGACACTCTCTACTGGCCCCCGGGAGTGCCTACCTACCTACATACGAGCATAAACAGAGTATCTGAGCACTCTGCACTCTATCCCTTCGTCAAATTGACATGAGTACTGTAGTCCTATTTCACAGAGAGGCTAAGTAACTTAGCTGCAAAGAGCTGGCAAGCAGCGCCAGGGTCCCGCCCCACTACTGTGGATCCAAAGCAGTGTTCTTCTCTAGCACTTTCTTCTTGTTTTGTCCCAAGCTGGCCTTGAACCCCTGGTCCTCCTTGTCTGCCATGCTGTATGGTATTACGGGCTTGAACCACCACACCTGAGACTTTATTATGACAGTTATCAGTGAGGTCCTCCCTTCCCTCTCCTTTTATTTTTATTTTTTTCTTCTTTTAATATTTTGAAACAGGGTCTTAACTATGTAGACCAGGCAGGCCTAGAACTTAATGGTGATTCTCCTGCCTCTGCCTCCCAAGTGTTAGCATTATAGTCCTATACTACCAAGCCTAGTTTATTAGTGTTTCTAAGATCAGAGGACAAATACTGTTTAACTCATGTTCTCTCTCTTCCTCCCTCCCTACTCCCCCTTTAAAAAAAAAAAAAAGATTTATTTATTATGTATACAGTATTCTACCTACATGCATGCTTGCAGGCCAGAAGAGGGCACCAGATCTCATTACAGGTGGTTGTGAGCCACCATGTGGTTGCTGGGAATTGAACTCAGGACCTCTGGAAGAGCAGCCAGTACTCTTAACCGCTGAGCCACCTCTCCAGCCCCCTACTCCCTCTTTGAGACAATGTCTCACATATACCAGACTGGCCTCGAACTCACTAAGTAATCATAGATGACCTTCCTACCTCTGCCTGCCAAGTGCTGAGGTTGCAGTTTGTGCCCCGCCCCCCAGGTTCTGTGGTGGTGGGGTGCCAGGTGAGCTCTGGAAGAGCCCCAGCCTCATCTCCAGCCCTGCCCATTCTTATGGTGTTACCTTGTTGTGTCACGATGATGGGCTACTGTTGTTGAACTTTTTTTTCCCCTTTTGGTTTTGTTGAGACTGGGTTTCACTGTGTGTAGCCTTAGCTGTCCCCAGAACCCATTAAGTAGCCCAGGCTGGCCTCTAACTCATAGATATCCACCTGCCTCTCTCCCGAGCGATGGGATTAAAGGGGTGCCCTCTCCCTATGAAACTTCTCTTCTGGTAGCGATATTTTGCCTGTTCTGTAGTACAGCCTTAACTTTTTTTTTTTGTTTTTGTTTTGTTTTGGTTTTTCGAGACAGGGTTTCTCTGTATAGCTTTGCACCTTTCCTGGAACTCACTCTGTAGACCAGGCTGTCCTCAAACTCAGCCTTGAATGCACAGAGATCCGCCTGGCTCTGCCTCCCAGAGTGCTGGGATTAAAGGCGTGTGCCACCACCGCCCGGCCTCAGCCTTAACATTTTGTTAGCTGGGCCTGGTCCAGCACTCTGGCAAGTAGAGGCAAACTGATCTCTGAGTTCTTCAAGGTCAGCTTGAGCTACATCGTGAATTCTAGGACAGTTAGGGCTCCATAGTGAGACACCCATTTCCAAAAAAAGTTCCAGATGTAGTGCTTTTAACACCAGCACTCAGAGGCTAAGATGGAATGATCAGGAGTTTGAGGCCAGCACAGAATATACCTTTTCTCAAAAAATAACGATTTAGCAGTCAGTAGTGGTGCACACCTTTAATTTTTTAATCCCAGCACTCAGGAGGCAGAGGCAGATGGATCTCTGGGAGTTCAAGGCCAGCCTGGTCTACAGAGCAAGTTCCAGGACAGCCAGAGAAATACTGTCTCAAAAAAAAAAAAAAAAAGGAAAGAAAGAAAGAAATGAAAATGATTTACAATTTAGTGCCTGTTATCCACCCGTTCCTATGTTTACAGTGTACATTACCTTAGAGCTCTCGAGTCATGGTGGATTTCACTGGCTTTCACATGGCTAACATGGCTTCTATGCCCCTGGCTGATTATAGTTAGAAAGTAGTATTGAAATGTGATCCTACCCGCTAATGGTCCCAGGAGATGCATCCTAAGGGCAGGATCCCACAACATAGCCATGACTGGCCAGGCTGGCCTTTAACTCCCAGAGATCCTCCTGCCTCCTCCTCTGCCGCCCTGGGATTGAAAGGCCTGTGCCACCACCGCCCGGCTTTAACTTGAGATTTTGAAGATGAGCTCCACACCTGTCAGAATTCATCCAAAGTGTTGGGAAAGGCAAAGCCTTTTCTCTACTTCTCCTTAGCGCAGCCCCTGGGGACATGCACACTGACCAAGAGACAGATTGGCAGGAGAATGGCAAAGCGGTTTTGATATTTACATGCAAAGAAAGCCATGGAAGAAAAGTGAAACAGTGTAGGTCATTAGAATATTTCCTATGGTTGTAAGTGCAAAGGACAGAACCTAGAGCTTTCTACAAGTGAGGACTCTATCTCCAGAACCCTTTTTATTTTATTTTATTTATTTGTTGTTGTTGTTTGAGACAGGGTTTCTACTGTCCTGGATCTCGCTCTGTAGACCAGGCTGGCCTCGAACTCACAGAGATCTGCCTGGCTCTGCCTCCCGAGTGCTGGGATCAAAGGCGTGCGCCACCACCTCCTGGCTTTTTTTTTTTTTAAGGATGTGGGTGGCATTTGGGGGTGGGGTATATACGCACGCATGCACAAACACGCCCACGCACTCCCAAGTGTGGAGACCGGAGGTCAGTGATGCGGACCTTCCTCTTTTTTTTTTTTAAGAAAACATGTAATATTTGTCTTTCTGGGTCTGAGGCATTTATTTCTTCCTCTTGTTATTTATTCTCTGCCTCCCACCCCCACCCCCACCCCCACGCACATTTATTTCTTCATTGAGACAAGCTTTCCCTACGTAGCGTTGGCTGGTCTGCAACTGGCTAGGCCCAGCTAGCCTTTTGAACTCACAGAGTTCTGCCTGCGCCGGCCTCCTAAATCCTGGTGTTAAAGGCAGCCACCGCCCAGGCCCAGCCGCCCACCTTATTTTTGGAGAGCGGTTCTCTTAACTGAACCTAAAGCCTGCCGTTTTGGCTAGGCTAGCTGCCGGGTAAACCTGGGGTCTGCTTGTCTGTGATGGGGATTTAAGCATAGATCTGTTAGAGCCTTCACCCTCTCAACCATCTCCCCAGCCAGATCAAGGAGGGTCTGCTCCTGCCCTCTTCCCCACCCACCCCCTCCTCTCAGCCCTCAGCGGCGGCGGCAGCTCCCCAAACGACTTCCCCTATCTTTCTTAAGCTTGCTGCTCTGCCTAAGGGTGAGCCCCTCCCAGCGCTCTCTCTTCTGTTTTAGCAGTTCCCAGACCCAGCTTGTGCAAAAGAGGGAGCTAAGAGGCGCGACGCAGGGCATCATGGTTCGCCTGTTGGCCTCAGAAGTCCAGCAGCTGCTACACAACAAGTATGTGGTCGTCCTTGGGGACTCTGTGCATAGGGCGGTGTACAAGGACCTGGTGCTCCTGCTGCAGAAGGATTGCCTGCTCAGTTACAAGCAGCTCAGAATGAAGGGGGAGCTGACCTTTGAAAAGGACCAGCTGATGAAGGGAGGCGAGCTGGATACGCTGCACAATCGCACCGACTACCGCGAGGTGCGCGAGTTCTGCTCCGACCACCACCTGGTGCGCTTCTACTTCCTCACGCGCGTCTATTCCGAGTACATGGAGAGCGTCCTAGAGGAGCTGCAATCGGGCACGCATGCCCCGGACGTGATCATTATGAACTCTTGCCTCTGGGACGTCTCCAGGTACGGGCGGAATTCCTTGAGTAGCTATAGGCAGAATCTGGAGAGCCTGTTTGGGCGCATGGACCAGGTGCTGCCCAAGTCGTGCCTGCTAGTGTGGAACACCGCCATGCCCTTGGGTGACAAGATCAAGGCGGCCTTCCTCCCTCAGAAGTGTAAGGGCCAGGCTCGGATCTCGGTAGCCACCCTGAAAAAAAGAGTGAGGCAGGCCAACTTGTACAGCCATGCAGAGGCAACCAAGCGCTGCTTCGACGTGCTGGACTTAAATTTCCACTTCCGGCAAGCCAAGAAGCACCTGCAGGGAGATGGTGTGCACTGGAATGAACATGCACACCGCAAACTCACCTACATGCTGCTGGCCCACATGGCCGATGCCTGGGGTGTGGAGTTGCCCCACCGAGACCCATGGGAGATTGATCCTGTGGACTGGGAAAGTGCAGGCCCAGGCCCGGTAGAAGAATGGCAGCCCCAGGCCAATAGAGGGCCTCAGGCCTTTGCCCCGCCCCCACCTGGGCCTTTCCCCAGGCCACGCCCCCTATTCCCTCCCCCTGGCATGCCCGTAAGGCCCCCACCCCTACTAGCATGTCCACTGCCCCCACCTCAGGTGACACCCCCGTTACCCCCATATCCCCAAGATTCCTATTTCTCCTCAGACCATATTTTCCAGACGGATGAATTCTATATTCATTCAGAGGACCCCTCGCCCCCCCACCCAGGATATGCCTTTGAGGGTGACTTTAGTTTTCATCCCCAGCCACCCATGCCCAACTACCGCCCACCCTGTTACCAGCGCCCGGCCCCCGGGGCGCATAGGGGTTTCCAAAGGCGTTTAGCTCAGGGCCCCTATATGCCCTGGAGAGGCCGGCCCAGGCGACCACAAAGACATGGCCCAGGCTATGTAGATTCAAGGCCTCAATAGTCTGACTTGAACCCCATCACCTCTGGATGGGGCTGTGTGATAACTGACCTTCCCTGTTCGTTGTCCCAGTCTACACACACTGACCTTGCTAACGTACGCCCAGCGAGTCCGTCTTGGACTTCTCTTTGTTCACTGCTGTTAGAAACAGGGGCAGGGAAGAGCCAAGTGGCCCGCCCCTGTTGCCTGTGGAGGTCTCTTTCCCCGCGAGTGACCAAGCAAGCATTCTTACTACCTCCCCCCCTCGCTATTCTTGTTTGTTGCCTTTTTGTAAAAATAAAGTTGAAGTTCAGAAATTGTTTCCAAAAGTGGTTCTGCCTGTTATGTGTGCATGCGTGTCTGGGTTTTAATGGCGGCCTCTCCTTGCAGTTAAAACCAGTAGCTCTTAGAGCAAAGACCGTATGTCCTTAATGAGTGGTTTTTTGACGGCCTTTTATTTAGTAAACTATTCAGAACAGCTTAAAGGAATTCCGAGAGTCCCTGTAAAAGGATCGGAGTCCTCACAAGGAAGCGGCAGAATTGGAACTTTCTGTGTGATTCGATGTTCTCAAAGAATCCTTGAATTTTAGAACTAGAAGAACTAAAGACATAAATGTTAACATTTGCGAATGGGGAAACTGAGTCAAAAAAAAAATGGCTTCACAAGTCTTTCCTACTCCTACTTATTACTTGTTACTGTTTACATCAGTGTGTGTGTGTGTGTGTGTGTGTGTGTAGGGAGAGGGTCTCAGGCATCCCAGATCAGCCTCAACTATGAACATGACCTTGAGCTTGCCCTCCTGCCTCTGCTTCCTGAGTGCTGAGATTACAGATACGCACTACAATGTCTGGCTTATGGGGTACTGGGAATCCAACTCCAAGGCTTCATGGATGCTAAGCAAGCATTCTACCAAACAAGCTATGTCCCCAGCCTCCATTAACACTCTAAGCTCAGGACTGAGGTTTCAGCAGGTGAGTGTCATCTCCAGAAGGGAAGAGTAGGTAGGGGTGGGACACTCACTAGAAATTGTTTGGTGAACAAAAAGCTATGTATGTTAGTTCGATGGGAGGCTTACCTGTGATTTGGTGATCCCAGGACTAGTCCTGGTTTGTGGATGTGAGGAAATTGGAGAAAGGTAAGCAACACTTAATGGCAATGTGAATTATCATTGTAGAATTACTCTGCAAATTGGAAGGGACCACCTAGTCACAAGCCCTTTTGGGGTCAACTCTGAGAAATGGCCACAGCCAGTATTCTGTAAGACTATTCTGTAAATCACTAAATGTGTTTAAACATTAGGTCCCTTCTCAGATAAAATACTCAACTAAGATACGAGTAAAATCTGAGTGATTGGAATTTTGAACTGAGGGATTGGACTGGTTCATAGGTCCCTAGTCTCACCATCTCTAAAGGTGATAATGTTATTCTACAAGAGTGACATTTATGAAATCACAAGAAACCGAGACACTTGGTGATCCACCACCACCACCAAAGAGGACATATTCCTGGAGAAGGGTCTAGAGAGATCCCAGTATCTGAGATCCTGGGACTGAAAGCAGTCACTGCTCAGTGTTGAATACCGAGATAATGCTCTATAAGGGCATGGGTATGGCTGCACCCCAAGTTTCTAAAGAGACCGTGCAAACTGACACAGCTCAGTGTAACCATTTGGTGGATAGTTGAAGCAGCATGGTGATAACCTTTGAGGAACCTAGAAGTGGTGGTGGTGGTGGAGACAGAATTTGCCAGAACGTTAACAGAATCAGGAGAGGGGCCAATGACTGGCAGTGGCTTGGCACCAACAATCCTCGATGTCCAGTTACCTTAATTCTGAGTTCATTCCCAAACAGCTTCTGGTCTGTCAGTTGAGTTTTTATATTTTCAGGAGTAAGCCAATAAATGGGTATTCTGTTCTCTCTGAGAGAGCTAGATTGGTAAGTGTTAGTCTTCCATTCATCTGTCTCATTGTGCCTGATGAGCCATGGTCTCAGATGAAGTGCCGAGGGCCAGACAGTGAGCTGGTGATGAATTCCCTGGGTTATGGATTGAACAGTGGTAGCCATTCAATGATGGTTGTTTCCCAGGGGGTAGAGCAAAAGGATTTGGTCAGGGATAGCGTTTTCATATACAAAATAGGTATATCTTCATAGCTTGAAGAGTCACAAATCTGAAATCCATGTGTAGTGGCTATTCTTACTTGTCAACTTGACTATGTCTAGAATTAACTAAAACCCAGTCAGCTGGGTAGACAGCTATTGTTGGACTAACTGGGTCACAGGCAGTAAGCCATTCTAATAAACCCCCTTTTCTCAGATAGATAGATAGATAGATAGATAGATAGATAGATAGATAGATACATACATACATACATACATACATACATACATACATACTAGATGTGAAGTATATACATATATATGTATATGAAATATCTATATATTCATTCTATCAGTTCTGTTCCTCTAGAGGACCCTAACACAGATTTGTTACCAGAAGCAGTTCCAGACCAACACAAGCATAAGCCTGAATATTTTAAGGGTCTGGCATAGGCTTTCCAATTTGCCAACACCTACAGTTACCAAAGCCTCCCCAGTTACTGAACCTTCTAGAAGCTCAGAGAATATTGAAAGCCCATGGTGTGAACTGTTTCACAAGCATCAGAAGATAGATAGATGCATTTGATTATCCTGACTGACCACTTGTGAGAGGCCGAGGAGTTGGTCACTCTGTATGTAAAACTTTTGTCAGTTTGTGGAGAAAAGGAGGAGGAGGATGCTAGCTGGTTGCTCTTAGCCTCCGTGGGTAAATTGATAAAGGAAAGAAATGGGCTCTGTGATAAAATTAACCAACCTCTAGCATCTCAGAATAGGGTGAAGGACAGTGAACTCAGTGATAAAACTGCCTGGCTCCAGACGAACATAAACAGTCTACAGGTTTCTGAGTGTGCCCTGGAGGAGACTCTTCTCTCCAGCAGCCACAGCTCAAGCTGTGGAAAATCCAATCGAAGTCATCATGAGAAAGTTGGTTGAATTACAGCACAAAGTCAGTCCCAGCCTCAAAGGATGTCTGGAGTTACCGTGAAGAATGGGATCCTGTAACGTGGGATGGGAATGTGTGGGAGGGGCCTATTGAAGCTGAGACCTTAGAACCTTCAGCTTCTCAAGGGCTTATCTCACCTGAGGAAGCAGTCTCTCCCCACCTCAGCAGAGGCACTCCCACCCCACCCCTGAAATACTGCCTTTTCTACCTGACTGAGGAAATTAATCCCTTATCGTCTGCTAAACCAGCAGAGACTTTCTCTGAAGGAGATGGCAGCAGAGATGATACTGATATCTTCAGGGCCCACCCATAGTTGTCTCCAGACCTACCTATAACCAGACTTGAGGCAAAGCAGGCTCCTAGAGGGGAGGTCGAAAGCACCCATGAGGATGTAAGTGTGCTACGCTGCTAAAGAGCTGAATGAGTTTGCTAATTCATTCAGGCAGAAGTCTGGGAATGTGTGTGGGAATGGATTTTAAGGGTGTGGGATCATGGAGGAAAGAACATTAAACTTGATCAGGCTGAGTTTATTTACACGGGCCCACTATCTGGAAGCCCACACAGCTTTAAAAATGTGTCACAAGTTTGACTGGCTGGAGCATTTGTCAAAAACGGCACACTGAAAAGGAGCTGGAGATGTCAAACATCCCTTGGCTTAGTGTTGATGATGGGATTTTAAGGCTCAGGGAGATTGCAGTGCTGGATTGGGTATGCTACTTATAACTTAATCCCATAAGATGCAAAATGGAAGAGCTCTGTTGTCACCCTATTCCTTGGCCAGACCTTAGGGTTGAGATCCTGATGCTGTTGGATGAATTAAGAGAGACCTATGGCCTTTTACAAGGGCATCTATCTGTACACTGGGGGAAGGGAAACAATCGGGGGTTTATTGGATACTGGTTCTGAATTGGCGCTGATTCCAGGAGACCCCAAAAAACATTGTGGCCCTCCAGTTAAAGTAGGGACTTATGGAGGTCAGGTGATTAATAGGGTTTTGACCAAAGGCTGACTCATAGTAGGTCCAGTGGGTCCCTGAACTCATCCGAGGTTATTTCCCCAGCCCCAGGATATAGTTGGGATAGATATACTTTAGAAGTTAGCAGAATTCTCACACTGGTTCCCTGAGTGAGGGCTGTCATGGTGGAAAGGCTACCTGGAAGCCTTTAGTGTAGCCTCTGCCAAGGAAAATAGTGAATCAAAACCAGTTTTGCATCCCTAGAGGAACTGCAGGAATCAGTGCCACCATCAAGGACTTGAAAGACGCAGGGGTGTTCCCACCACATGTCTCTTTCATTCTCCTGTCTGGCCAATGCAGAAGACAGATGGGTCATGGAGAATGACAGTTGACTATTGAAAACTCAATCAAATAGTGACTGGCTGCAGCTGCTCTACCAGATGTGGTCTCCTTTCTTGAGCAGATTAGCAGCACATCTCCTGCTACAGGGTATGCAGCTGTTGATCTAGCAAATGCCCTTTTTCTTGGTCCCTGTCCACAAGAAGCAGTTTGCTTTCAGTTGGCAAGGCCAACAGTTTACCTTTACAGTTTTGCCTCAGGGACATATGAACTCTGCAGCCCTGTGTCATAACTTAGAAGGGATCTCTATTGTCTGTCTCTTGCATAAAATAATAGCATTGGTGCACTATATTGACAACATGCTGATTGGACCAAGTGAGCAGGAGGTAGCAACCACTTTGGATTGTCGGTAACATACGCACACCAGAGGATGGGAAATAAATCCAACCAAAATTCAAGGGCCTTCTACCTCAGTGAAATTCTTCAGAGGCCAGTCGTGTGGGGCATGCAGAGATATTTCTAAGGTGGAGGGTGAGTTATTGCACTCGGCCCCTCCCACCACCACCACGAAAGAAGCACCGTGTTTATTGGACCAATGTGGATTCTGGAGACAGCACGTTCCCCACTTGGATGTGTGACTCCAGGCCACACACACGTGACTGAGGAAGCTGCTGGCTTTGTGAGGGGCCTGGAACAGGAGAAGCCTCTTCAACACGTCCAGGCTCTGCCACTGGGACCACACGATCCAGCAGACCCAATGGTACCCAAGGTGTCCGTGGCAGCTAGGGAGGCTGTCTGGAGCCTTTCGCGGCTCCTATCGGTGAACCACAGGAGAGATCTTTGAGGTTTTAGAGCAAGGCTCTCCCATCCTCGTCAGACAACCTTTTTCCCTCTGAGAGGAGACACAGCTCTAGGCCTGCTATCGGGCCTTAGTGGAAGGTGGACATTTGACAGTGGGCCACCATGCAAGCTGAGCTGACCAT